CTCGCTTTCATTGTCGCTCTTTTCGCGCTCTCACACTCTCACTTTCTCGGATTATTCACTCGCTCACCGTTATCTACATGCATAGTATCCAGCTGTAGAGCTCCTCATCCGCCACGCATCATTCCTCTTCTTTTGGCGTTTCTCTCTTGCATCGTCGCTCTTTTCGCGCTCTCACTCTCTCACTTTCTCGGCATAGTTCCTCCCTCACCGTTATCTACATGCACTGTATTCAGCTGCAGAGCTCATCACACAATGATCCCTTTCACTCCCCCCACCACGTTCACGCACGTCCAGCAACTTCCGATTCCCGACTCTTTCCGACAACCACTCAACGCCGCTGGGGTCACCACCCGCCTTTCCCTCGCTTCTGGCTCTCGATTTCCTTTCAACATCTCAACTTCCGCCCATCGTTGCTATCATATTGCTCCATCACTCGCTCGCTCCGGTATTCTCCCTCGAAAATGCCAAAATCTGTACCATCAAACCCCTTTTGCCTACCAAGCCTTACGGCACACTACGAACGAGGGTCAACAAAGGCCGACGTCCTCCTAAACCGTTGCCCTTCGGTCTCATCATCAACCTCCTTCCCTCATGTGCCCGCCCGCGTCCTCTTCATCTGCTGTTCTTCTGTTAATCCTCTCAACCCGTTCACCGCCGCATCTCCTCGCCCGCCCGCACCCGATGTACTCTCCACCACCACCCGTTTTCAAGCACCATAAATCTATGCTATTAAACGCCCCATTCACCGCCGCATCTGCCCCCACATCCAATACTTACACCCACATCCTTCAATTATGGTCCCTTCTGTCCCCAGCACCGGGTCCGAAGCCCAACCTGTACACAGGACAAGAAGGGGGACTCGGCTGCTTTCGTCGATGATCAGCTCATCTTCGTGTCCGCGTCGCCTTCCCTAAAGAGCCTGCAGTCGAATCTTCCTCGGGCCCCACCAAGAAATCCAGAAAGTAGTCGCCTCTGCCTTTGTCTGTTGTACTATATACATCCTTCTCGCCCGTCTGCCAACCTCAGTTGATTTTACTGTTCATGTTTCCCCCAGACTCACTTCATATACTTTCATGCGGCTATCGGCGGTACGTACACGTAATTCGCATTTTGTAATCAGTCTAAAAACTTGCCCGCGAGTTGTCGAGCGGGTCTGATACTTGTTAGAAACATAGAATATACAAACGAACGCGTTTGCTTCCGTTCCCTTCCAGCGCCCGC